TGCGTAAAAAGTGCCATAAAGAGATCGATTCTGGACCTAACCTGTTTAGTAGTTAGAATACTAGTCTTGCACTCTAAAGGTTCTGGTTCGATCTCAGCCTTTGTCTGCAGTCTAAGAGTGGGAAGGGGGTCTAGGACCTGCCCTATAGACCCAGGGCAGGCAGTAACCATAATTTGACCTCCGAACTTTGTGAATAGCCTGAGAATTACCCGGCTGGAATAGCGATCTGGCCTAATATTAAAAGTCCAGGGTTTGTTACCAACTGTTGCCACTGATGCAAAATCATAATTTGGCCTTTGACCTATTTGAATGGCCGGGAATTTCTCCAGGATGACGTCATTTCCCAACCAGAGCGCGAAAACGCTTGATGTGAAGTGTCCATCGTTGTTATCCAATTTAATTGAAAACTTAATTCCGCAATGTCAAGAGGGCTGTATTCTGAGATGGTGCGCCGTATAGTCGGGTAGACGTTTAAAGGCGGTTCAGAGGTGCTTACTGCCTCCATCGTCAGGACGATGTTCTCAGACCTTGTGGTTAGCTAAAGCACAGACGTATGCAGCCGGAAACGGACATGTTCGTGTCGGTAATCGAATTTGAGACAGACGATAGTTCAAATGCAAGAAATCTGCCGAGGCAGTTCACAAGACACGCCTCTGTTGCGAAGAAGCCACTAGAATTATTTGAATGAAAATTTCTAGAAATGCGGAAACAGCCAGATTTAATGAAAAGTCATTACTTCCACAGAAACACTTCTAGCCTCATCTGAGGTCGCATATTAATTGCTAAGAGTAATGAGTCTCACGTCATTGGAGAGACATTGCTGCTACCAACAGCCATGGAAATGTGTGAAATTTTATAATGTGAAAAGTACGACTAAGTAATTAAAGAAATTTCTTTCTAATGATACCGTTATAGACAAATTGAATCAATGCCATAAGACATCAAAGACAAACTATCACTATGTATGATTTTAGGTTTTCACAGCGGTGAGTATGAAGATATGTCCTGTGGGTTGTTGTACCCTGATGACGGAGGCAGTATGACCTCTGAAACGTTGGTAAACATCGCCCAGACTACACAGCGCAACAACCCAGAAGACGGAAATCTTCATCGCCCTGATAACGGAGGCAGGATGACCTCTGAAACGTTGGTAAACATCGCCCAGACTACACAGCGCAACAACCCAGAAGACGGAAATCTTCATCGCCCTGATAACGGAGGCAGGATGACCTCTGAAACGTTGGTAAACATCGCCCAGACTACACAGCGCAACAACCCAGAAGACGGAAATCTTCATCGCCCTGATAACGGAGGCAGGATGACCTCTGAAACGTTGGTAAACATCGCCCAGACTACACAGCGCAACAACCCAGAAGACGGAAATCTTCATCGCCCTGATAACGGAGGCAGGATGACCTCTGAAACGTTGGTAAACATCGCCCAGACTACACAGCGCAACAACCCAGAAGACGGAAATCTTCATCGCCCTGATAACGGAGGCAGGATGACCTCTGAAACGTTGGTAAACATCGCCCAGACTACACAGCGCAACAACCCAGAAGACGGAAATCTTCATCGCCCTGATAACGGAGGCAGGATGACCTCTGAAACGTTGGTAAACATCGCCCAGACTACACAGCGCAACAACCCAGAAGACGGAAATCTTCATCGCCCTGATAACGGAGGCAGGATGACCTCTGAAACGTTGGTAAACATCGCCCAGACTACACAGCGCAACAACCCAGAAGACGGAAATCTTCATCGCCCTGATAACGGAGGCAGGATGACCTCTGAAACGTTGGTAAACATCGCCCAGACTACACAGCGCAACAACCCAGAAGACGGAAATCTTCATCGCCCTGATAACGGAGGCAGGATGACCTCTGAAACGTTGGTAAACATCGCCCAGACTACACAGCGCAACAACCCAGAAGACGGAAATCTTCATCGCCCTGATAACGGAGGCAGGATGACCTCTGAAACGTTGGTAAACATCGCCCAGACTACACAGCGCAACAACCCAGAAGACGGAAATCTTCATCGCCCTGATAACGGAGGCAGGATGACCTCTGAAACGTTGGTAAACATCGCCCAGACTACACAGCGCAACAACCCAGAAGACGGAAATCTTCATCGCCCTGATAACGGAGGCAGGATGACCTCTGAAACGTTGGTAAACATCGCCCAGACTACACAGCGCAACAACCCAGAAGACGGAAATCTTCATCGCCCTGATAACGGAGGCAGGATGACCTCTGAAACGTTGGTTAACATCGACCAGACTACACAGCGCAGAAGACGGAAATTTTCAAACTATTACTACTATTTGTGTTTGTCAGGTATATAGCCTGAAAAAAAACTCTCATGAAGGTTTCATGTTCTGTCGACCGCTCACAGTGAGGTCGACAGGAAGTGTAATGTTCAAGACTCTGATCTCTGTATCACATCAGAAGATATTTCTTGTTCGGGTTGTATCGGCATCCGAACTACTGGAGCTTCATCAGCTTCGACAGGATACAAGAAAGGCTTTCGGCCTGAAGTCAACCAAGTTACTCCTCAGATGAACTTTGTACATTGCATCATTCATACAGAGACTTCAGAATCACGTGACCTTCTGCCACAATTAAATACTTTGCTACCAGAAGCCGTAAGAATTCAATCCGTACCTCAAAGAAATACAACGCGTTTTAATTAAAGAGATTAATTGGTTGATATGTTTAAGGACATAATCGGCGTTTACTGTGTTAATCAGACGACACCCATAAATACAGTGAGTGGGTAATGCAGAGTTATTTATAGTTAGAACAGGTTGTATATGTTGTTATCATCGGGGTTTAAAGGGTTAAACGTAACGTTATTATTGTCGGTGATGTAAGGGAGGTTTTGTAAGCAAATTTTCCACGAGATTGCTACTACAATAGATCAATGCGAAGTGGCACAGATGTGAATTATTCAGTGACAGCCGAACGCGTGTTCAGAATGCGAAAGCCATCCTTGAGAGTCCGTACTATGCTACTCGCCTACTCGAATGAAATGTTGTACATAATTGATATCAGAAGTCTATAAGCTCGTCATTTATAGTCTGGTGTAAATAAAAAATTCAGCGTCAGACATTTCTGGCTTGCCTCTTCTCTTGTGGTACACTCAACCTTTTAAGCTTCTGTAAAATTGATTCGACATGTATCTTGGTCACGAATGTTCACGCCTG